GTGCCTTACGGAACTGGAAGCGATGGCTGGAGGCGGTACGGGTTTGATGAAGTGACTGAACCTCCTTGGTGAGCAAACCAATCAGAGGGCTGGAGCGGTGGGGGTGGGGGGTTGAGTGGGATCACATTCTAAGGACGTTCCACCAATGACGCTCAACAACGTCATCAAAAATGCTCTTCCTTCGTGCCAATTAGGTTGATTGCTTCTAAGCGCTGATCTGCCGGAAATTTTATACGATTTTGCAGAATTGTTTCTTGAACTGTTTCACTTTATCGACCAACTACATATGATGCCGTCACACCCCTACAGAAGGAACAGAAAAAATGTCATGGCAAGCATTACCAAACTTTTCATCGCAGAGGGTGCCGCCATTAGTGGTTATTTACGCCAAAACTCCCCTCTAATGTCCCCCACGAGTAGAAAAGTAGGCTCTCTTTTAATGCCCTCACCATCTTAAAATATCGTTTTCTGTCATCACCGTCAAGCTAATGAGGCCTACCGTTATCGCTCCACCTGAAGCTACAGTTAATTGTTAAGTGAGCTTTTTTGCCTCTCCCTGTACATCAAACAGTGTGTCCGAATATGGGTTCATAGGAGCTGTGTTGGTATTTTGAGTGAATTCGAAAGCAAGAGGACAAAGAGAACTGCAATATTCTACTTCTTCCACTGTTTCAACCTTTCGCTTTGGCATGTTTCAGGCAAGTTAGGGGATGGAAACAGAGCAATTCCAGTAATGCTAGGAAAAAACGTGAAAATTTCGAATATATCAGTTTTTTGCAAACTGGACAACTAGAAAGAAGTTATCTCCGTTCAAAATGCGATAGTTTCATGTCTCTTTCCCTCGCCGTCTGAAAACAGCATAGCGTGCTTCATCACCACCAAATGCTTACCATGATCAAATTTAACGTTTTTTGTAGCAATTAATCAGTAGCGTCGATTGCCTAGGAAACAACTGGTAAAGGGTCTCCTTCAGTGGAGGGGGGGGTCGTACTGAACCTGGAAATTTATCAACGCAGTGGACCCAGGTAAGGACTCCGAGGGAGGTCAACCGTGCGCTGAGCAGATTTCAAAAATTTTGCGACCCCTCCCCTCTTCAGGAGATCTCGATACAACCCCCTACTCCCACTTCCAGCGCCACTATCAGCCATAGGAGACTGCCTCAATCCCTCAACATGTAGCCTTTCCATCACCCCATTCACCACCCTCATTATCATGACTGCTACAGTACAATATTTGATTCTGATGAGACCAGTTGACACCCGACTTCGCCCATTTTTTCCTTCCACAACGACCGTAGGGCGGTCACAACTGAAAAAAGAAACCGAAAACCCTCATTTAACCCTTTTCTTCCGCCTTTTGACCTTTCCCAACCCCCAGTACGACCAGTTGAGAACTGCGAAAAGCACGTCTGACCCTGCTTAAAGGTGCCTAAATAGATCTTGTTCCACGGGGTTTCTTCCCTCTTAGAGTCAATCCAAGGAGATGTCCTCACTTTGCGGAAGCGCCGACTCCGATCCTCGTCCTCACCCCAAAGAGAACCTCGCTTTCCAAGGAATGTCTGGAACTCTGTCATTATGCTACAAAAACGGCCGTAGACGAGTCACCGCCGACAGGTTTACTTGTACAAACACGTGATTCTTTGTGGGACCCGTCATTGCCACGTGAATTCGCCTTTGTGCACGATTATTCGCTCCTAGGCTCTTTCATGCTTTCTAACGAATTTGTTCTTCAGAATTTTTGTCCACTTCTTTTAACAGTACGGGGTATAAATGCACGCTTTCAGGACATGGGTGCGGTGAAGGTGATCAAGAACAAAGCGTTCTTCAAACGCTTCCAAGTGAAACTAAAAAGGCGACGTCAGGGCAAGACGGACTACTATGCAAGAAAAAGGCTAACAGTACAAGACAAGAACAAGTACAACACTCCGAAGTACAGACTCATCGCTCGTTTCACGAACAAGGACATTGTGGCTCAGGTAAGACGGGATGGTAGTGCAGATGTATTCAGCAATTGTTACCTTGACAACTAGCCCCTTGAGCCGTTCACTCTAAGGCCGCTTTCATAGTTCCTGACATGGGAGATTAGGATAGTAGTAGAGTAGGAGATTGCGCTGACAAGATTGGATACGTATCGATTGAAATCGCTGGAGAGTAGTAGATTGGGCGACTTCAAGCGAATAGATCAATACATATCTAATCTTGTCAGCGCACTATCCTAATCTACTACTATCCTAATCTCTATACTTCTATCCTACTATCGTAAGATCGACGTCATAGTCGGCGACGGACTAAGCGGCGCTCGACCGAGAGCGATTGGCAAGCGACGGACAAGCGATGGAGCGATCGCGATCGCTCCATCGCTTGGTCCGTCGCCGACTATGACGTCGGTCTAATGTCGCAATCTACTACTCTCCAGCGATTTCAATCGATACGTATCTAATCTTGTCAGCGCAACTCTCCTACTATCCTAATCTACTACTATCCTAATCTCCCCGTCAATACATATGTTTTTCATTGTCGCGTACTATCCTAATCTCCGGAGTCGCGAACTATGAACGCGGCCTAGGAGGTTTAATATAACCTAGGAATTCAAACGTTAACAGAAGTGATGTCCAGTAGAAGCGCCATTTAAAAAGGAAGGCCTTTCAGTTGTAGTAAATATCATAAGATTTGCGAGACTTATTGTTATAGATGGGTGCATTGATTCTGTAAGAAATCTGTAAGTGCTTTGCTAAAGTAGTTACCCTAAAATATGTTACACACTGGATAAAAGAGCTGAAATCAGCGTAAGACAAGTTATATTAACTTATACACTTAAAAGAATAGGTTTGAGGAGATGCGGTTGACATCAACCAAAAATTTTCTCTTTTTGGTATAACGTTACATTTGAACACATTTTGCTGTAACTGTTTGCGAATTCGTCCACTTGGGGTACCTACTCGCCTACCACAACACTGTGTGCAAAAACTTGTCGACGACTGACCCGTAATGATATCACTTGACGCCAGCGCCGTTTGGTGCCGAAAAAAGCAGTTTATTTTACCAAATTCGCAGTAGACTTCGTAGAGGTTATTTACTGCCATGATTACGAAAAATATATAATCTTCAAAGCATACGACCATTTATAGCTCGGTTGGTATCATATCTTCCCAATATTAAAGCAACAGTTCAGGGAGGGTCCGAAAATTTCAATGCCACTACTACTGAGGGATACACGAGCCCTAGTGAAGAACATATGCAGTGGAAATAATAAACGAACTTACCTCAGAAACTCAAAAACAGGGTGGAAAGTCCCTCAAACATGGGTGTTCTTGGGGATTTCCCCAATCCCGCCCCCTTGCCGGCCGTCATTGGACGCGTCGGCAATCGTGCTCGTTTGGGACCACAGGGAAAATTGATTGAAAAATGGAGCGCGTTTACAGCGGGCACGTTCAGACAACTCGTCCAACGTGCGTCTTTATCCATTGCTGAGCGGCAGAGGGAGAGTACCTGTCTAAGACCCTCCCCGACGTTTTTTTCCAGTTTTTCATACATTAATCGTCTGGTTTTCATCTACAACTTCATTATTGGTGGTTTTTTCCCGCGAAACCGTTCCTGAACTGTTGCTTTAACCATTTAATACGAATTATTTAAGTGAGAGGAATTTTCAACCAATGTCGATCGCTAGGGTTAATACCAGAGTTCGCGGTAAATATTGACTTATATGAAAGGGAAATAAGCTGAGTCTGGTGGACAGCGCAGTGCACATTTAAGCTGGCACTACAAATGAGATTGTCAAGACAGCAGAAAAATGCGTCATACAGAGCCAATTCCGAAAAATCTTATTTTCGTAATCAGAACGCCAAATAAACCCCGTACACAAGTTTACATCGAACTTATGTTAAAGCACATCGCCGGCGTCCAAATTTTTTTCCCCATATTTGCAATTCAGGAATCGAATTTTTGAGATTTCGGGCAGTGGTATGAACCTAGTATCTTTGGCGGCCTCTTCTCCAAATCTCCAACGAAATAAATACGCGAGTTTTGTGTTTGAAACGTTTTCTTGCGTGAATTATGCTTGAATTTCTAGAGGTAGAAAAATAGAATTTCTGGGAAAATAATTATCTCCGCTTTAGTCGTACAATGGTATTTTTAGATTGCTTACTCAAAGATCGAAGGAGACGTCGTGGTAACAGCGGCATATTCGCACGAACTTCCCGCCTACGGCATCAAGGTTTGGTCTTCTGTAACATTTTTCGCGGATCCATCCCACGGCACCTGTTCTGCCGTTTTCGAACATTCACGTGTAATCACATAGTCTAGGAGGCTACCGTAATCTCATGTTTCACTTCTTTTCACCTACACTCCCATAAACCGACTTTGAGGTCGACGGCCGCCGAGCTCGTATGAAAATGTTTCTACAAGTCGTTTTCGGTTACTGGTTAATCGAGAACTGTGGATTGCTGCCAAATTGTGCCGTAAGCGCATCGCTCCATGAGATCCGCTGGAGAGACCGGGTCAAGTGTGGGATGGGTGGGCCATATCTCGAGAACTACAAAACATACATAAGCTAAGCACAGCCTCTTTACAGTGGCGTGGGTGTGCATCGAAATGAGCGGTAGACGACCAAAATTTCAAATTTGATTCAAAAGGCTAGAGACTGAGGAGAAAATGGGAGGTGTGAACTGATAAGTCACATCGAATTAGGGAGACCCACCCCGGTGGGCGGGGCGTTCTCTAAAAAAGCAGTGCTTTATGAAAAATTTCATAACTCGGTTGGGAGAAAGCCTACAGAGCAGAAAACAAATTGGTGTAGGGAGCAATGTCTAAGGTGTTCCCAGCATACATGACGTGGGCGGAGGCCCGCCCACAATGGGCGGAGCGCGCTCTGAAGTGTACAGCATTTTCTACAAGTCCTCATAATTCGGTTCTGAGAAATTGGTAGAGGCCGGCAGAAGAAAGACGTTCAAGTGCTTTTGGAGGGCGGAGCATGCATCGAAGTGGGTGGAAATCCTGGTTTTGAATCTAAATGTTTTCCGTCAGAGCGCTACTCATGTGATGTGCTGTCGCATCCTTTCGTCGCACCAGATGGGTCCTGCGTGGATCTCCCGTTTAGGTGAGCACTTCGCAGTCGTAGAATCTCATAGTGTTTTGGGAAGTGGCGAATGCGGGAGTGTGGTCACGTTCTAGATGTTATGTATTCAACACTTGAGGCACCTGCACCGAACTGGCTTCGTTTTCTAACAGTACTACGATTCAAAGAATCGCACCTCAACTAAGCGCTCTTGACAACACGGTGTACCTTCAATGGAGGGACAAATTCAATTGGATACCCTGAGCCTCATCAAGACACTACGGGAGGGGGTAAGGGGTATTGGTAAGGGGTACGGGCAGAAAAAATCCAGGAAAATGGAGGAGAAACGCGCTAAAGTAAAAATGGAATAAGTCGCCCAGTAGGCAGTGAATCATCGACTGGTTCATACTCAGCTCCTGTTAAAGTATCAGCGACTCGAGAAATTCACACAGAAAGGATTGTCTCTATGTTCAATGTTATCATATTCAGTCGACTGTTCTGTTGGGTTGTATTTTTCCATAATTTGAAATTTATCTGGATTTTGGTCATACTCGAAGATGTCCGGCAAAATGATTTTTAATCTTCTTTCTTCCTTCCATTCAAGTGAGACGCTGGATCAGTGGAACAATTTGTTCTTCATAGACATCAAAACTTCATATCTGCCATATTTAGAAATTCAACGTATTAGATATGGCAGGAAAAAGTTGCGGTCGAAAAAGCATTTGGTCGAAGACTTTTGAGCGCGACTGTATATCTCTTTACAAACGGCCACTTCGACTTTCATCCTTCCCTTGTGAGCGCACAAGCGGTGTCGCTTCCCCTCCCCCTCCCGCACCGGCCATACTGGTCTCAGGGTACCCCCCAGGAGGCCCGTCGCGCGGCAAGAAGGCAGAGTCGGCGGACGAGTTGCAGCGCGTGATGTGCGATGAAGGACGTGCAATGGGACATTCTATTTAACTTGACGCGAAATCCCTAATACGCGCGCGACTCGTCCGCTGACTCGGCCTTTTTGCCGCGCGACGGGCCTCCTGGGGGTAACCCTGGTCTCAACATCTTTCGTGAGGTTGCGAAGGTTGATTTTCATGCTTAAATGTATGGCACCTGGAGATGTCATATTTCGTACTTCTATTGCAGGTTGGTCTAACAAACTATGCTGCTGCGTATGCCACTGGCCTTTTGCTTGCTCGGCGTCACTTGAAACGGCTTAATTTGGACGAAACATTCAAGGGGCAAGATGAGGTTATATTGATGCTTCGTTCTTCCATAAACATCATTCAAAGTAACAAAGTATAGGTTACCGGTGAGTATTTCATTGTTGAAGAGGAAGGAGGTCGCAGGCCGTTCAAGGCGGTACTGGATGTTGGATTGTCTCGAACAACAACTGGTTGTAAGATTTTCGGTCTAATGAAAGGTGTTGTAGATGGTGGCATCGACGTACCACACAGGTTTGGTTTGAGTTTTTTCATGTTCTGAGAAATCAAAATATCGATAATATAAAGGAAAAGAGCAAACTAGAACGGCTGTTGGCTATTTCAACAAATTGAATTGACAAATGTGTCGGAATGAGGGATACACGACAGGGGACTCGTCGCGCGGTACGAACGTGGAGTCAGCGAACGAGTCGCAGCGCGTGCTGTGTAATGTGGTGCATTCCGGCTTCATGGAATAGCTCACCGGCGGCGCGGACGCGAGCGCGTGCGGTGACGTCACTTTGACGTCACAGCGGCGGCGAGGGATTGAGCAAGGTGGTGCCAATACTTTACAACATTGCGTATAGGACACTATCGACTCTGACTTCACTATGAAGTGAGCAGAAGTAACAACGAAGATACTAGTAACAACGGGAGGTCCTACTTAGTTGAAGTTTTTAGTAGGAGGGGGGTCGCTTGAAATCACATGTGAGTTTAAGGTGAAACTCAAGTTTTTATGGGTAGGTAGGGTGAGTTGAGGGGCGCAGGAAAAAAATATATCCCCCCTAGAAAATGAAGTAGTGGGAATATAGGTAAATATAGGTAAAAGTAGGAGTAAAATGGCGGAGATATAGGGAATTTTTACTGTTTCAGAGTAGCTATACACCCCCATAACCCTCCCATACCCCCCCCCCCCCGCTCGACGGCATTTTAAAGTGGGCGGAGTTTGGTGGGTTGAGTGGAATAAATACTATGGAGACGGATGGTGGTCGAGGTGTGGAAAAGGGGGTCGTATCAAATCCACCTTGGGGGAGGGGGTCGTAAAAAATTTTCAAAAAGTAACAACGATAGGGTTGACCCTGGTTCCACACAAAACCGTTGACTTCCTTATTCGCAACAGATTCCTAATTTTCGAGGGCGAAAATAGTACCTATACACAATACAATCACTTCGCTCACGGCACTACTGATTGCACTAGTTGGTGAGGTGCCAGCTACCCTTCTACTATTCAAGCAAAGTGGCAGCGACGCTTTTAGTCTTGCCCTCTCGTGCTGTTGCCGCAGCTGTGACGTCAGCTGCGACTTCAGCTGCATGCGCTCGCGTCCGCGTCGCTGGTGAACTTTTCTCCCCTCAGGTACATTCCATTTATTAGGTTGTCTCATAAGTGTGTCGCTTTTTTTCAACCAAAAAATTTTCATCTAAATCCCCATGCTTTTACATCGTGTCATATACCATTCGAAAGAGAATTGTCTGCTCTACAAAATGCTGTGTTCCTCTTCCACCTCTGTTCCAGGGTTTTCAAATTTTAGGCCTGCGAAATGGGAGGTCCAGCCGACAAAAATTGACCAAACCGACAACTAGCTCTAACTTTATTTTCCCTTGGGAGAAATCAATCAATGATGTACCCTCTACTTATGCATGACCTCTTCTAAACATTACACTATTAGGTTTCCCAACAAGTCGCGTCGTTCCATTTCCAGACCTGGTTTTTCAACCAGAACTCGACGGTCGAGCACCATTACCTGAGATCTAGGTCGAAATTTTTTATAGCCGAGACATTGAAAAACTAGTAGAATTTGAAGA